AATTCTATGTGAAAGCTGTCAAATAACTTACAGGCATCTGGCAAACAGGGCAAACATTTTTCTACACACTCGCCTCAGCAGACAACATGTAGCATGCTGCCAAGTGACTGGATGTTTATCCAGTTATAAGAACACTGGTGAGAAACACACAGGTGGAAGGACACAGATTCTCCTCTGCGTGGCCAAGCCCAGAGATGCCAGCTCCACTTACTGATCCAGTTAACATAAGAAGAGCCCTGCTAGGTTAACAGCAGAGGACCATGAAGTATAGAATCCTTTTCCCCACAGTGGCCAGCCATATACCTCTGGACACCAGCAAAGTAAAACCTGCTGGGACATTTCTCCCCAGCACCTGGTCTTTAGAAATACCCTGCCCCTGAACAGGGAGGTTCCTATTTACTACCATAGCCAATAGTATTATACCATAGTATTAGAAGAAGAGGAGGAGATTGGATTTATACCCTGCCCTTCACTACCCAAAGGAGTCTCAGAGCGGCTTACAAACTCCTTTCCCTCCCCCTCCCCACAACAGACACCCTGTGAGGTAGGTGAGGCTGAGAGAGCTCTGACAGAAACTGCTCTTTTTCAAGGACAGCTGTGCCAGAACTACGTCTTGCCCAAGGTCATCCAGCCAGGCGCAAGTGGAGGAGTGGGGAATCAAACCTAGTTCTCCCAGATTAGAGTCCGCACACTTAACCACTACACCAAACTGGCTTACTGTATCTCCAGGCAATTAATTCCATAAGTTAACTATGTGTTCTGCGGTTCAAGTGGGCAGCCGTGTTGGTCTGAAGCAGCAGAAGAAAGTTTGAGGCCAGTGGCATCTTGAAGGCCGACAAAGTTTTATTCAAGGTGTGCGCTTTCATGTGCATGTACACTTCCTCAAACACATTGAAATGGAAGTTATCAGTCCGTATGTATATGAGAAGGGAGCACTCACTGGAGAAGACCCTGATGCTGGGAAAGATTGAAGGTCAAAGAAGACGGGGACGGCAAAGGATGAGATGGTTAGACAGTGTTATTGATGCAACGAACATGAAGTTGAGCCAACTTCAGAGGACGGCGGAAGACCGGAGGGCCTGGCGGGATCTGGTCCATGGGGTCGCAAAGAGTCGGACTCGACTGTGCGACTGAACAACAAAAATATGTTGTGTGAAAGAATACTTACTGTCTGTCCTGCTACAATTAGGTAAAACCAGCCTCATGGCAAAGAGCACAACTTCCTGAAGGCCGCTGCTCAGCCCCCCTCTGCCTTCTGCCACCTTTGCTCCTCAAACCAGAGTGCTAGGGGGGGGGGGGCACATAAAGACTTTCTCATGGATATTCTGAGCTCCTCCTTGAATGTTCAGCTTTCATCCAATTTGTTGTTTTCAAAAAAGGAAACCTCCGGTCTGTTTTATTGAGGGAGAGAAGTAAAAAAATTGCTACGGCACTTCAGCCAGCAAGTAATAAACCAGCTCTTTTCTTCCAGTGTTCTGCCTGACTGGTTAAATGTTACTAAAGTTAATTGAAGTAAAGAACTTTAAACCTAATTGGCAGTTTATATTTCCACTGATTCACAAGGCTAAGTGTATCCTCAGGACATGCTACCAACAATTTCTAGTGGCATACTTTCTTAGACCTCTGCCCTCTACTAGGTTAGAGGGTAGGTGTTGTTTGTGTAATGTACTGTTCCCCTGGAAGCTAACTATTGGTCTCCTTTCTTTAAAACAGTTGCCTTTTGAAGTGTAATGGGTTAGACGCATGTAGAAACCACTAATACGGATGTAGTGATCAGCATGGTTTACTGGTACACAACAAAGACAAAGACTACTGGCCCACTGGCCAACTATATACATACCTAGGGACACTCCCCTAGGTCCCGTTGGTGGGTTTAAATCGCCCACCACGGTCCTATTGGTTCCCCAGTGGAGAAACTAGGAGCCTAGTCCCCATTGTTCTTACAGAGTCAAGCTCTGGGGTATTCGCTGGCCCCTGGTGGCCGTCAGCAGACATAACATCTTTATTCACAGTGTTTCTCCCGCTCCCTGTGTGTGGGGGGAGGGAAATAAGAAAAGGGGAAAGAATCCATTTTATTCACAAGAATTCTGGCCGTCACGTACCTCCACCAATACAGAAATAAAGAGCTAGGGGGCAGACAATGAAAAAGCACTCCACAGTTCCTGGATACGCTAACCAAGATTTGCCCAAAAAAAAAAAAAGCATTTTTTTTTTAAATCTATAGTTAATAACTACGGAATGGCTTTTGGCTGCTTTGCTTACAGCCGCTGTAAGAGCCTTAAAGGTGCTTTAAGAACTTAAGCTGCGATTCACAGCAGCTTGTTTTGCAAAAGATCGTGGCTGCAAAGTATGGACAACTGCCGTGTCAGAAATTCTACAACCTGAACTGGGTGGCAGAACTGACAGTTTTGTAAAGGGGACAGCTGTTTGGCCGAGGTCAGAGGCCTCCTCACGGAATCTATAAAGCATTCCTACAGGGTAAGAGCTGTTTGTACACTTGTAACCACACACATCAACTTTGCATTTTAAAGGAACACACTACGGAAGTGAAGACTGAGGCTCCCCCACCCCAACTGATGGGTTCAAGCTAAGCATTTATCACACAGGGATTACTCTGGGATCCTGCCCTAGGACTGGTAGATTTTCTATGTGGCCTGTAGTGCAACCAGACTACACATTCCACATATAGATGGGAGGGGAGTTCAATTGTCTCTGGTCTCCAGTTCATCTGCCCTGGATCCGGTCCAGTTGTAGAGTTTGCTCCCTTGAGGGCGGTACAGGAGGGAAAGGATCTGTTCTTTCCAGGGACACTTTATGGTACAGCCTATAGCTCAGTGACAGAGCATAGCTTTTGCCATTTGGAAGGCACCATGTTCCATCTATTATCTCTACTTAAAGGCTCTTGGGTAAGAAAGGCTGGGAAAGAACTTCTGCATTTGTGGAAAGGTGGTCAGATAGTCCTAATCTTAACATGACGCTAACACAAGCACTAAATTGAGGTCACAGAAACTTGCTAATTGCCAAGGAAAAGCTGGTTGACTGAAACCACCTGACAAGATCCTTATCTGGAGTAACTAAGCTCCCCCTCCAGCTACATCACACATGACAGTAATATTGCAGCCCACTTATACATGCTTTGGCTACAAGGCTGCTCTGTGGTGGAATACTTGTATGGGAGCAACTGCTGAGGCAATGGACTGTACCCCCACAATGTACACAAAGAGTGTGGCAAGTAATGCAGCGGCTTCTCTGTGTTCTGGCTTTCCTTTTATCCTGGAACTGGAACTTTATCCTGCTTTCCTTTATCCAACATATTGAACTGGGCTTGCTTCTTCCTGCAAAAGTCAAGTGTTTTCATTCCTTCAAGAAGGCAGCATGGTCAGCACTTGCAACTGTGTTCCTGCAGACTTCAAACAGCTCAGCTTTTTGTTTTCCTCAATTAGTGGCAAAGTTATTTTGCTCTGGCTCCTAGATCATTCACACCCATTAATGCTCACATGCAAAAGGAGAGAAACTCCCATGTATACGGTGAATATAAACTGCTCAATCTACCAAAATGTTTTTCTTACAGACTCTCTGACTTCACCGTTCTGTCTACATGCCCCTTCCCCCAATAGATTACCTTTGAGAACTAGTTGGATTTGTTGAAGTCTCTCCCCCAAGGACCCCGTGCCAGCAGCACCACTCCCAGCTGTGCAGGCACCACCTCTCCAGTTCTGTTAGACGCGGATGGAGGCGGACAGAAGCTACAATTGTAAAAAGCAGATGGGTGAGACCATCAAGTAACTTTCTGCTCTTGACTGGCAATGGCTCTCCCGGGTTTTTGGCCCTTTCCTACAGACTCTGGAGGAACTTGGACTTGAAAGAGGCACTTGGGAGCGTATCTGCCTCACTCGCCATGGGTGTGCCAAGCACTGACTGTGCCACTCAAACTCCTGAAGACAGTTTGCTCCGGCTCAAGCTCGTGACCGTGGAACTGCATGTTCTTGTACTACCACACACATACCTACCAGTTGCATTACTGGAGTTGTCAAAAGATCTCACTGACCAAAATCCATGCTGGATCCGTGATTGAGGGCCACTGTACAGATGGCCCTAGACACACCCCTTCCTTCCCCTTAAGCAGGTCATATGAACACTGGTTAAAGAAGAAAGTAATGTTTTCCTTCAAAAAAAAAGCACTTCAAAAGTAGTTTAGAACTATTTAATAACTGGCAGTTTAGGCACATTTCACAATTCATATGCATCATAAATACTATATACTTGTTATACTATAATTACCAGTATCCTGCAGGCATGGAAATGGAGGGATATGGGACAGCCACTAGGTACATATTATCGTTATGCAGTTAACAATCTTGGTGAATTTTTTTTTGGCAGCAATGTACAGTGAAAAAGGTAAGCACTTAGTTGCTTTTTCAAATAACCCTGTTCCGCAGACAGAGTTGTTTGTTTTTAAAGGAGTACAGTGATCAGGTGGACCATAAACTTTTAATGTACCATACAGTTATCCTCACGTCTGTACTAAATAGCATTTCTGAGGACATGCAAAGGTCTGAGATGCAGGACGAGATGGTGTAACAGCGGGCAAGGTGGGGATCTGTGATGACGCCCAACACACCATGTGCTTACTTGGAAATTTGTCCCATGACACTGAATGGGTCTTCCTCCCAAGTAAGTGTGAACAACAGGATGGCCGTCTTGGAACCTAATTTCTCCAGGTTCAGCTTAGTCATCTGTACCCCATCTGTTTAGTGATCATGTGACAACGGAAAGAACCTTTTGTCTATGGATGGATCCTCTTCATCCATATTTCAGCTAGCTTAATTTCCCCTTGGGTGCACACAAGCGAGATACAGATGATACGTAGGAACTTAATCTTGTGTCAAAGCAGCAGGACTTCAGGGACCAGAATGCTGTGAGAAAAGTGGTTGACTCAGACCCTCCCAAAACCCTGTCCACACTGCGTCACTTTTCCTTCTGTTTTTATGGTCGCAGCAGCAGATAATGGCAGCTGTTTTCATCTTAGAGGTATTGGCTCATTTAGTGTGGATCTCCTCGATCCAATCTTCTGCAGTGCCACGGACTGTGCCACAGGGCTGTCCCTGTAATCAGGATGTGCCTGTTCTAGATGCCTTTCTTGCTAGTCCGTAGGGTCCTTGTTCCTTGCTAGTGCACAGACTTTGGTTATCATGCCCGAAAGTGAGTCTTTTCTAGTAAAATTCTACACATCGCTCCTTAAAATCCTCTCCTCTTTTTCTAACTAGGCTATCTCCGGCCTTTCCAAGGATACACAGAAGCTCTAAATACTCAACAGCGCTGGAGCTTCTTGACCCCCCAAGATTTTCTTTCCCTTCTCAGTGAATTATTCAACAGGATAGGGAAGGCTGCCCTTACCGAGACTGTATGGAACAAGCACAATAACAAAATGAATGGAAGAAGAACAAGCTTGCACAAATTGCTATAATGTTCATCCCCATCATTATTCCAAGTGAACCCCCTTATAAAAGATGCCAAGTGACTATATTTCATGGGCTTTGGCAGATTTCCATAGGATGAGTGCACACACTGCTGTCTGACAATTCATCTCTGAAAAAGCGTGTGAACTCACTGCCAATGTGTAAGCTCTGGACGGCATGGGGTTCTTTCCTCGTTCTGCCCCCTCCACCAAAAGAAAAAGAAAAAGCAACACCCCAAAACACTCACCCTACTGTACTAAAGTGAAATCAATTGTAAAGGACAGTCTAATCTGTTTTAACAATTTGGGAATCAAAAGGGCAAGCCCATCTTCAGATAACCATGTGGATGCAGATGACACCTTCAGCTTTAGCAACCTGGCAGTGTTTTGCAGACATAAAAGACCAGAGAAGGTGGATCGTCCAGACCTACAAAAAGCCATCAAACAGGACGTGACTGGCGACTGAGAGTTATAGGTCTTGAGGGGCACTCTGCATCTGTTTTCATTCATTCCTGTTATGATAAAACTCTGCTGAGCATCCAGCCAGGCAGGTAGACGTGTCTGTCCATCACACAACCTGCAGTCCCCTGTCATGCCCATCTAGCTGCACTTTCAGTTTGTGGAGTTCTTCAATCTCTCGGTTGTGACGTTCCGTCTTATGGCGGACAAGCGACCGGTAGAAGTGGATGGTGAAGACAACAAAGATGATCCCCACGGGGACCATGATCATGGTGGAGATGAAGGCCGCCTGCCAGCCCGTATGGCTCCTCGGCTTTTGGACAACGGCAGTGTCATTTTTCAAAACAGCGTCCACCGGCAGGAATTTGATCCAGCAAAGGAGAACGACCTCAGCAAGGAAGAGGAGGATCCCCAGGACGGTGGAGAAGCCCCACGCCAACTCGATGTAAAGATGCATGCGCTCGTGGGGGGACTCGCTGATGGAGTTCAGGTTGTGGATGTTACTTACCGCTTCCACATTGGGCAGGATGCAAGTGCTGATGAGGAGGGCAAAGAGGTGGACGGCGACCAAAATGGTGGTGCAGGCACTGAAGGCGATCAGCAGCATCTGAGGGTACTGGTACTGCATCTCTAGCTGGACTTCAACCATGGCCACCTGAAAAGCATCAACACCTCCTGCTAAATATTTGCTTGCCACTCTGATAGCCCACTTGCTGGGACTGCTAATGCATGACCGCACCCTAGGTGAGAAACAAAGCTTCAAAACAAGCTACCAGGCAGAACAGCACGTCATGTTATGTTCTGGCATTCTTTCATGGACTTTTTTTTTTTAAAGGTCTATGCAGACGCTTGGACTGCGATTTAAGAGTGGCTCACAAGAGCAATGCAAAGGGAGAGAGCTTTCTAGTTGTTTCCTCCCATCCAGTTTTCCCATGGAAAATCCTCTCCCCAAAGCTGTTTGTACCACAGGTAGGGAAAACTTACAGGGATCTATAAATCATAAATCACACTCCAAAAGGCTTCTGTTTTAAAAAAATTGTGTGTGTGTTATGGAGGGAATGAGAAACACGCCCACTGCTCTGAAAACAATCTGAAGCAGAGTCTGAGACTCCAGCCAAGATGAACAATCAAGATATAAGGAATGGGAGTCCTGAGGCTACCCAAGCGTTTGCCTGCCTTAAGTGAATTTCTTTCTGTTCAAGCTGGAGAATTTCAGCCTTAAAAAACCCAAGCAATTTCTTGAGTCTAGGAAGCTGGGGGGGGGGGGGGGGGGGGGGGAATCCCTAAACTGGAAATTAGGCTCTTTAAAAACTGGTATATTTTGGTAAAGGCAAATCTTCCTAACCAATTAAAAACTGTGAGATGTTAACAGAACCCAAAGAATGGATTAAATAAACCAGAAAACTGCTGTTCTACGGCCACACTCAGACATCACAGCAAACCTTGCTGTGTCTATGACAGGCACAAATGCAGCTTTTCTCCTGCACACAGAATTTGACTGAAAGCTTCCTGGCTCTGGAAAGCCTTGAATCAAGCTCCAGTTAACATGATGTCTTGATGGGCAGAATCTGAGAATGTTGGTTTTCTAGTTCGGTGAAGACCGGAGATCCCATTATTTCCCAAAGAACAGCAGATGCCAGGTATTGAGCCAGGGACCCAGGGCCCACAGCTACAGTGGGACATCTCGGGGCCTGGTCCCCCGATTGACTGCCAAGGCCCCCTGACTTCCCATCCAGCCCCCAGGCCCCCCAACTTCCATTTTTAAATTTCATTTGTGATGCTCCCTTTGGAGGGGGGGTGCCCCCTGACTTATTTAAAGGCCCCCTGAATTTAAAAAATCCTGGCTAGGGGCCTGCTGGGACCTTCTCGCCCCTGGCAGGCAGTGTGTTCACTGTTACCTCAAATTCCCCCCCTGCAATATGATGCTGTAGGGCTGTGTTGGGGTCAGCTCAAGGATGCAGTCAGTTTATAGGGTGCAAGCAAGCCAGGCCATTACCCTGTGTGAGCACCCTAGAACACTTCCCAAGATTTCCTGCAAAATGCAAGACAGCCTCAGGGGACAAATCGACACAGACATACGTTCCCAATGGAAATTATTTTGAAAAGCATAACAGTGTCGAACCAGGAGTGCGGGAAGCCATCTGGGTCCTCTCTCCACTTGCAAAAGGTTTACCACGCTTGCTAATCAAATTAGTAATATGTGCCCGTTGGCAGCAGCCTGTACACTGGCACAGGGACTCCTCGAAAAGGAAACAGTTCCCCATCCTCGCATCAGCACATCGGAAAGACTCCCTCAGATTTTAATGCCTACCACAAACAGATCTTTGGGCTACCCGTTTCCGATCTGATGCAGGCCCAGGATTATGGGAGATGCTTGCTTCTTGTCCAAACAAACAGGGGAAATTTATGTTCTGTGGTTTCTTGAAGTCTTGCAGAAGGTCTCTTTCCCGGCAGTTCACTGCTTCCTGGAATGCCACATTGGTCAATACCCTCCAACATAAAGATGTGGCATTCTCCATTCTACAGTGATCACATCTGTATGCCTTACACATGCGGGCCACAAGAATCCCCAGAACATCAGCTTCAAGAAAACAACAGATTAGCCCTGATGTAAGCCAGGGGGAAAATGTCTGACTGAAATTCAATTCAAAGAGTTCCCTGTGTGAATTTGCATGGGCTTAGTGTCTTGCTTAAGCTGGAAATGAAGGACACTGCAACATCTCCTGCAGCAAGCACTCCTGTACGGTGGGGGGGACAGGGGAGACAGCAGTCAAATCCTTCTGCCTCCTTTCTTCATCTGTTCTGCTGCTATCCCTTGAGAAGAGAAGAGATTGGATTTATACCCCGCCCTTCACTACCCGAAGGAGTCTCAGAGCAGCTTACAAACTCCTTTCCCTTCCCCACCCCACAACAGGCACCCTGTGAGGTAGGTGGGGCTGAGAGAGCTCTGACAGGAACTGCTGTTTTTCAAGAACAGCTGTGCCAGAACTATGGCTTGCCCAAGGTTATCCAACAGGTGCAAGTGGAGGTGTTGGGAATCAAACCCGGTTCTCCCAGGTTAGAGTCCGTGCACTTAACCACTACACCAAACTGGCTTTAGTGCCTACATTGCTAATTTCAGGGACTTCCTTCCTTCTGGCCATCTCTTCTCTCTCTCTCTCTCCTTCCCCCAGCCTCTAAGAGGGAAATACCTTGGCCTCCCATGCTGTTTTCCTAACCTGAAATGGTCTGGGGGAGGGGAACTACATGGCCAGTTCTGGAAACCCACGTGTCCTCTGGAGCTATTTCCAATTAGGAAAATGGCATGGGAAAGAAGGCTGAAGCCCTTTCTCCATACCCACCATAGTATCAATATCAGTTGGGCACTGTGTGTACTAGAACTGAAGAGAACCTGCAGTTCATGTCTGACTGTTGCACAGGCTGGGTGGACCCCACACCCAACTTCTTTACTCCGTAATGTGTGGATCCGTTTGTCAGTCTAACCTACATCACAGGGTGGGGTAAATATGCAGCACAGAGGATCTGAATGCTGAGAATTCTCTCACCACCTCTGGAGAGAGACAGAGAAAGCTGGAGGGGCCTGCTGCCTTCCTCCCCTCACTGGTTACTTTTCACTGGCCCTCCTTCCCACCCGCCCACCTCTAGGGAGGATGAGCTGCTAAAAGAGATTTGCAGAGAGAAATGATGGACTGCTGAAAGACTAAGATCCTCTGATCAGGCCCATCCAAGTTTTTTGACTTTCACCTTTTGTCCTTTTTTGTGTTGTTAACAGTCTGGATACAGCATATAGCAAGTAGCCCCGTGCTAGCCAAACTGTGGCTGCTGACACTTCTGAAGCTCTCCCAGAGACAGACTGGAAAAGCTGGAGGGGATCACAGGCCTACATTCTTTTCCGGCAGCACAGGAAAAGGAGAGGTGCACAGTCCTCTAAACACTCCGTTTCAGGGAGCAGCCATGTCGGTCTGCAGCAGAAAAGTGTAATCAAGCGACTGAAAAACATACCATGGCAAATCCAGAGAGCAAAGCAGAGGTCCTGCTGGAAGCTTTCAGTTTGGCTCGACTCAGGTACAATTTCCGCCATGAGAGAGCCTGAACGGAATGGTGATTGGAAGTAACCAGTTCCAGGTAGCTGCGACGGACCCAGTCCCGGTAGTCCATACCTTTGGCAGCAGGCTCAGAACAGCAGGAAGAGGCAGGAGGGTCTACAGGAACATTCAGCTCAGTACTCATGGTGAATGATAAGCTGTGGGTGTGATTTAAGAAAAGAGAGCTTTTAGGAGAGAATCCAGCCAAGCTTTAGCCCACCCATCAATATTTGTCTCCTAAAGCACAGAATTTGTCTGCCAAAATTAACAATATATAAACATCTCTGGGAAGAGAAGTCAGATTCTCAGAATGTACTTATTACTAACTGGCAATCCTTTCTTCTCTGTTGGAATAACAACAAACTGGATGAGCAAAGCCAGAATAAAATGTTATGCCATATTTAATTATCACAGGTATAGAGGAGGGCAACCAAGGTGATTGGAGATTAGAGCACCTTCCCTACCTGAAGAGTCGGGGACTTTTCAGTTTAGAAGAGAGACGAGCAATGTTCCCTCTAAGCTATGGAATCTTGTGAGCAAAAATTCTACTTTGTGAGCTGCTGGCATTAAAGCTGAGAGAGAGCGGTTTGGCTACTGTATAAATTAGTTTGCTCTGGAGCCCTCCTTCCTGAGCTGAGACAAAAATCTGCGAGCTGGAGGCTAAAAAGCTGTGAGCTAGCTCACACTAACTCAGCTTAGAGGGAACACTGGAGACGAGTATTTATTTATTTTATTTATTTATAATTTCAATTTATAGCCCTCCCTCCCCGCAATGCGGGCTCAGGACGGCTCACAAATAGGCATACGCCAACACATAAAAATGGTTAAAACCATAAAAACCATAATTACAAAATTACAACATATTAAGTGCTCTAGATGTTCTAACAAAATCTTTCATCAAGATGGCGTGTCTGAGATGGTACATCCGATCAGTGCTATCAGTTCCACATGGCACTGTTGTTCTCTCTTCCCAGGGCCAGTTAATAATGATGGTACGATAGTGGCGGCTCCTACCCAAAGGCCTGGTGGAAGAGATCCGTCTTACAGGCCCTGTGGAACTGCGCCAGGTCCCACAGGGCCCAGATCTCCTCCAGGAGCTCGTTCCACCAGGAAGGAGCTGCCACCGAAAAAGCTCTGGCCCTGGTAGCGGCCAGCCTGGCCTCCTTGGGGCCTGGAATCGTCAGGAGATGTTGCGTCCCCGACCGTAGTGCTCGCAAGGGAACATGTGGGGAAAGGTAGTCCCTCAGGTACGTTGGACCCTGGCCATATAGGGCTTTAAAGGTAAGAACCAGCACTTTGAAGCTAATTCGGTATGCTATTGGCAGCCAGTGCAACGCTTTCAGCACAGGCCGGATGTGGTCCCGGCTAGGGAGACCCATCAACAGCCGGGCCACAGCATTCTGCACCAGCTGCAGTTTCCGGATTTGCGACAGAGGCAGCCCCAAGTAGAGAGCGTTACAGTAGTCTAACCTCGAGGTGACCGTCGCGTCGATAACTGTGGCCAAGTCATCGCAGTCGAGGAAGGGAACCAACTGCCGAGCCAGCCGAAGATGGTAGAAAGCTGACTTAGCAGTGGCTGCCACCTGGGCCTCCACAGTTAACGAGGAGTCCAGGAGCACTCCCAAACTCCTAACCTCCGACGCTGGCACCAAAGGCACCCCATCGAAGGTCGGGAGAGGGAGCCCCAACACCAAACCGCCCCGACTCAGGCCCAGGACCTCCGTCTTCGCCGGGTTTAGCTTCAGCCGACTCAATCGGAGACAACCAGCCACAGCCTGCAATGCCCGGTGCAGATCTTCTGGACTAGAGCCTGACCGGCCGCCCAACATCAGATAGAGCTGGGTGTCATCTGCATATTGATGGCACCCAAGCCCATACCTCCGGGCAATCTGGGCAAGGGGGTGCATGTAGAATAACATCGGGGAAAGCACTGCCCCTTGAGGCACCCCACATTCAAGAGGGTGTCTCCGGGCCTGCTGTTCCCCTATCAACACTCTTTGTCCCTGACCTTGGAGAAAAGAGGCAAGCCATTGAAGGGCGAGCCCCTGAATCCCTGCGTCTGCGAGGCGGTGGGTCAGCAACTGGTGGTCGACCATATCAAACGCGGCCGACAGATCTAACAACAACAGTGCCGCCACACCACCTCAATCCAGATGCCTACGGAGGTCGTCAGTAAAAGCGACCAGTACTGTCTCTGTTCCATGCCCCGGGCGGAAGCCGGACTGGAAGGGATCTAGGACGGAAGCATCATCCAGAAAGCCCTGCAGCTGTAACGCCACCACCCTTTCAGTAAGTTTGCCCAAATAGGGCAGATTGGACACCGGCCAATAGTTGGCCAATTCAGCCGGGTCCAGAGAAGGTCTTTTCAAGAGAGGGTGGACCATCGCTTCCTTGAGTGCCCTCGGGAACCGCCTCTCCACGAGGGACTTGTTAATAATTTCCCTAAGGGCCCCTCGCAGCCCCTCGTGACCCGCTCTAATGAGCCAGGAGGGGCACGGATCAAGGCTGCATGTGGTTGGGTTCACCGATGCAAGCAATCTGTCAACTTCCTCCAGGCTGAGCAGGCCGAAGCACTCTAAACCCGGAACCGAAGACGTGCAAGGGGGCTCAAGTTCACTCACTGTTTCAACTGTGGTGGGGAGGTCGCGGCGGAGCGCCAAGACTTTATCTGCGAAGTAGCTCGCGAATGCCTCACAGCCGATATCCAATTCCCTAGCATTTTGCCTGCCCTGTGGCAGAGCCGTTAAAGACCAAATTGTTCTAAATAATTGGGCTGGGCGCGAGCTCGCAGATGCAATCCTGGTCGCATAGGTTTGTAAAATAATGCATAGGGTGGAGATAATTGACCAAGAGAAATTTTTCTCCCTCTCCCAAAATACTAGAACTCAAGGGCATACAATGAAGCTGATGGGCAGTAGGTTCAGGATGGACAAAAGGGAATAATACTTTACACAGAGAGTGAGTAATATGCAGAATTCACTGCCAGAGGATGTAGTGATCATTCATCACAGAAGTAAACAGCTTTAAAAGGGGATTAGATATGATTTATGGAGAATAAGTCTATCAATGTCTACTAGCAAGGTGACTGAGAAGAACCTCCACATTCCAAGGCACTAATCCTCTGAATCCCAGAGGAACTGGTGGGTCACTGTGTGAGACTAGGATGCTGGACTAGATGGACTATTGATCTGGTCCAGCAGGGCTCTTATGTTCTTATGACAATATTATGCTCTTTGTGGATTTATTAATTTTATATCTTGATTATAGTATAGCAGGTGTCAAACATGCGCCCGCGGGCCAGATCAGGCCCTTGGAGGGCTACTATCTGGCCCACAGCAGAACTGGTTGTCTTCTGCTTCTTCTTCCAGTTCTGCTGCTGCTGCTGTGTCATCAAAGGTTTGCAGCTTACAGATACACACCTGAACAGCATACTCAAGATTGCAAAAGCACAGACATTTTGATACAATAATTCAGAGCAAGAGGTGTTAATTATCAGACACTGTTAAATAAACAAAATATTGCAAGAGTGTTAATGTTTTAAGCATGTTTTTATTTTAAGAAAAAAACAACAACCCTTTGTGTCCTTTATAAAGTTTATATCTATGCTACCTGGCATTACATTTTATGACACACATGGTCTGGCCCAACAAAGTCTCATTTATGTGAGATCTGGCCCTCGTAACAAATGAGTTTGACACCCCTGTCTGTGTTATGATACTTGTCTGACAAGCAACTTGCCATTTCATACTTGTGGAATGGAGACAATGTCTTCCTGGAAGGTGAGGTGAGACAGCTGTATCAGGAAGGAGAATTCTGGAAAGAAAACATGGCTCCTTGACAGAGCTCCTGCGTAATATATAGGAAGTCCCAGGCTCAACCCTTGGAGTCTCCAATTAAAGGAATGCAGGTAGGTGGACTAGTAAAGACCATCCTCTCTGCCTGAGACCATGGAGAGGATACTTCATACAAGGCAGTTTCACATGTTCATATTTTAACCAAAATTAGGAACAGCAGAATGGTAGAAAGATACGGAGGATGCACAAATTCCACCACGAAGTTCTACGTAGGCCCTGTCCATACGTGCCATTTGGGCCGGGAGAAGGACGGATCTGGGCCGGAGCAAACGGGCGCGATCCCACAGCAACATCTGGGGAACGTCGTGCTACCGTCTCCGATCCGTCCCATCCCGCCCATGAAGTGCACCAAAAAAGAACCACCTACCTGGGTGGTTTTTTCGAATGGGCCGCGGCAAGTGCGGCCGTGGGATCGCCAGCGCATCCTTGCGCCGGCGCATTCCCGGTTCCTGGCCGAACTGCGCATGTGTGAGCATGCGCAGTTCGCCAGGCTCCCCTTCCCACCGTCGCTTTCTCCCTGGCATCTGATCGTGCCGGGGAGCAACGGCGCCGCGGCTCGGGGGATCCATGAGATCCCACCGCGGCGTCTCAACTTTGATGCGGCTCAGATTAGTCGCAGTTCAACCGTCCTTTTCCATGCCGTGTGGCAGGGACCTGAGAGAGTCTAATTGGAAAAGATGGCAGTTCCCCTTCATTTTAATGAGTCCTGCCCAGGAGAACTTTCTAATGGATTATGCCTCGTGTCCTGCCAGTGGGGCAGGGGCCATTTGGATTTTCTTCCTCAGCTCCCCAAATATCTTCCACCAAACCTTTTGTGGAGATCCATTCTAAATTGCATACTTTTCATCTAAACCTGCTGAAGGCCTGGAAGCCAGGACAGAAGACAGACTTTGGTTCTTTCAGATTGCTGGAGGAGAGAAGTGACAACCATTATCTCTCTGTGTGTGTCAGGAGGGACCCCAGAGCCATTCTCTAACTGCTTTGCTCAGATCCTTCAAGAAATGCCAGGGACTGAACCTGGGACCTACAGCAGGCAAAGAAGGTGCCCTGCTACTGAACCACTCCATCCTGTACCTCCTCTTCTTTTATTGTTCTTTAAGCAGTCATCCATGCCAAATACACTCTGTTTCTGCCAGTGCTACACCTAGCAGATATGCAAACGTGGCTGCACATAAAAAAGGACTGTTTGCATAAATTCTTTTTAAAGGCACAATGTTCAGGAGAGTTCTCAGAATGAGAGAGAGAGACAGACAGACAGAGTGCATGCAGGTTTGCTGAGAGTAGAACTTAAGTCTCATTCACTC